GTACCTCAACCCACCATCTGACCCCAACACTCCCCAGCCTGGAGCCCCCTCCCTGAGCCAACATCCCCTTCTACACCTCCTCCTGCATCCAAATTTCCTCCCAGAGCTTGCACCTCTCACCCCTTCCCACACCCAAATCCCTCATTCCCACCCCAGAGCCCACACATCCTGTCTCAACCCGGTGAGAGTACGACTAGACTGCAGGAGTTTTTCCGGGATTCCGGAGATATCCCAGAAAAACTCTTCTGCATCCAGGGACACATTTGTTCTTCCGCTTTTTTTAGTGGAAGAGCAAACATGCTCTTTTGGTATCCCCTGTATTCCTCATTCCACGAGGAATAAGGGGGCTTCCGAAAGAAGGGGTTTTTCTGACATTTGGTCCAGTCTAGACAGACCAAATGTTGGAAAAACCTCTTCTTACAGAAGAATCGGGGAAAAAAACCCAGCAGTGTAGGGTGTGTAAGGGCTGGGGATAGCAAGTGATGGAGAGGAGAATAGAGAGGGCAGGGCGTCAAGGAAGGGGTGGGGTCTTGGGGGAAGGATGGGGCAGTAGATCTTGGCTTGTTCTGACATTTAAAAAGTGATCTTGGGTGTAAAAAGGTTGGGGACTGCTGGAGTGTAGACACAGAACAAAGACAGGAAATCTTATTTCATGCTGCAACTTGTCCTGTGGCTGTTAGATGCTGTGTAGTGCCATGACAGTAACCCTCTCCATCCCCCTCCTATACATACACACAAAGGGGACAGTGGACAAACCGATTGAAATGGCCCGTCTGTGCCAAGAGTCCATGTTGATTTTAAAATTCTCCAAGTAGCAGGGCCAAATCCATCCCATTTTATCTTTCTGCAGAGCCCAATCCATCAGTAGAGTTTCTCAGCAGCACGTACATTTACCCACATGGGACTGGGACATAAACACAGGTAGGACAGGCCTGTAGCTATTTATTTCCGCAGAAATCTCTCTCTTTTTCAGGTCCATGTCATCCTGAATGTGGCAACAAAGGCTGCGATGGTCCTAATGCAGATCAGTGCTGGAACTGCGTCCATTATAGTCTTGGAAATGGTAAAACTGGCAGGTACTGTTGTTGTTCATGTGCATGACAAGCAGTGGGCCCCTTTGTGCTGAGAGCTGAGCGTGCTCATGATGAGAGACCGTCCCTGCCCAAATAGTCTGCCATCTAAACAGATAAAGAATGTTAGTGCGGGAGCATGACCGAGACACAGAGACAGTCAATTGCCTGAGGTCTCACATGGAGTTTGTAACAAAGCTGGAACTTGAACCTTGTCCCCCTGCATCCTAGCTGAGTGCAACAACCACCTGGGCATTGTTTCATTCTGAAGTTAATGCTCTAGTTCACTCAAATATCAGCCGAAACAGAAGCCCGCTACTGATCTGTTAATAGAATGACAAGCCAGCTGCCTGGAGTGCGGGTGTGGGGGAAGGATGGTCTTGTGATGGAGGCAGAGCAGCAGGGCTTAGGAGATCTGGCATTTCTTCCTACTTCTGCCACCGGTGACCTTGGGCAAGTCATTTAATCCTTCCCAGTGCCACCTGTCAAAGGAGAATGATGGTACTTCCCAGCCTTCTGGGGGGTTGCTAACATTTTGATGCTGCTCTGATCTTGCGATGGAACTGGAAAACAAAATGCAGCGCAGATTGCTGGTTACTGAAATGTCTTTCCATCTGACTAGTGTTTGAGGGCTTACATAGCATGTTACATCTAATTATTATAACATCCTTTGGGTGCATGCTTGGCTGAATGAACTGTCTCACATAGACTAGATTCTACAGTGAATTTGGCATGAATTGGCAACCAATCTGCTAGGGACAGAATGGGCACAGAAAGAGCTACTATTTCACCCTTCATGGGCCCCTCCAGAGCAGGAAAGAGGTACCCCAGGCAGGGCCAACTAGAGAAGCACACTCTGGCACTTCTTTCCTGTGCTCTGCCTGTCTTATGGATAAATGGAGGACTTCCTCCCACCAGGCTGTTGATTGTTGATCTGGCTCTCAGATTCCTGTGACAGTGTACTTTTAAGTGACAGAGAAAGGGAGAGTGATGAGATTCCGGCTCTAAACTGGGACATGGGCAGCATAAGGAAGATACGAGGTATGATTTGCAAAAGTCCCTAGGGGTATGTCTACACTACCCCGCTAGTTCGAACTAGCGGGGTAATGTAGGCATACCACACTTGCAAATGAAGCCCGGGATTTGAATTTCCCGGGCTTCATTTGCATAAGCCGAACTAGTTACTCCGTGCCGCGTGTAGCCGCACGGCACGGGGTTCGAACTAGCCGGGATTTAAAAATGGCGGCGCCCGGCTTATGCAAATGAAGCCCGGGAAATTCAAATCCCGGGCTTCATTTGCAAGTGCGGTATGCCTACATTACCCTCCTAGTTCGAATTAGGAGGGTAGTGTAGACATACCCCAGGTGACTTAGAAGTCTTGGTCCCATTTTCAAAAGGCACTGAGGGCTAATTCCCCTTGACTTCCCAGGAGACTTTGGCCCACCTAAATGAGTTGAAAATGGGGTGTTGGCTCCTAAATCACTTTGGCTCCTTTGAAAGTTTTGTCCATAGAAATAATTATCACGTCAGTGTGTGTTCACCTTAGGGAAACCATCGAACCTTTGAATCCCATGCTATTGATGGGAGAGGTTTTACAGCCCATTCCTAACAACTGAAATTCAGTTTAAATCTTGATAAGGAAGAATACAGGTGAGTAGATTGTTTTAAAGGATGAAATGATCTAGTAATTCTGCAAGTGAAAGTACTGATGAGGGCAGCCATTGGGTAGGATGACTGGCGTGCAGACACCACTCCACTGATACAATCAAGAGGGTGCTGGAGTTAATTGCATAAGCAGCATTTCTTTACAGTAAATACCAAATGAGAACCAAGCACTTGCATTGGTAAACACCAGACGTAATGAGCTGAGAATACTGTACCTTTTGCGAACTGGGATGCATGCTCTCTTGCTTTTCAAATGTATAAATGTGCATCTGTTTAATTTATACTTGGTAGTATAATCCTTGGAAGGCAGAATACATCATATTGCCATAACGCCTTGAAGTCCTGACACCTAAATCTTCTCTCGAATTGATTGTCTGGAAGTGCTAACACCTAAATTGCCTCTTAGATTGATTTAGATCTCACATAAAATGATTGCATACTATGAGTGGGTTATGGCAACTTGTATTTTACAAAGCAATCCCACCTGAATATCTAATTCCACAAAGATGATGCTAAGACAGTGTCGAATATCCATTTTTTCCCCAAACACCTGTAATTTGGTGGAATCACAGAATGATAGGACTGGAAGGGACCTCAAGCAGCCATCAAGTCCAGTCCCCTGCCCTCATGGCAGGACCAAGGAATGACTCGGCAGAAACAAACACATAGGTGTGATTAGCAAGGGATTTCCTAAACATCAAAGAAAGGAGCAACAAAAATCTCTTTTAACTTGAGATTCAGTCTAGTCCTAATATAATTTATATTGCCTTAATGACTAGCAGCCTCAGTCACAGAGCAGGAGCTAGGGTCTGTACAAAGAACCAAAAGATGATCCATGGCAAAGACATGACTCAGTATCAAATAAGGATCATAGAGGGATACAGAGAAGTAGACAGAAGAAAATAAGAAAACAATGCCTGATGCTTTTCCAAAGGCTTTCTTCCATCTCCATCTCCTACAGAGTTTATTTCTAGGCCTTCCCCTGAGCCCCAGGGCAGGAGAAAAGAAAAGCTGAGTTGAGAGTGATGAAATATAGGTGACAGATACCAGACACATACACTCCTGAAAGACACTTAGGGTACGTCTACACTTGTTCCCTAGTTCGATCTAGGGATGCAAATGTAGGCGACCGAAATTGCTAATGAAGCGGGGATTTAAATATCCCGCGCTTCATTAGCATGATCTAACCGGTGCGTTACTCTGCTCAACAGCTGATTCGAACCAGGAAGTGCGCACCGGAATGCGTTAGTTCGAACCAAACCCCTTGGTTCCAATTAATATTTACTCCTCATTTTTTGAGGAGTAACATTAGTTCGAACCAAGGGGTTTGGTTCAAATTAATGCATCCCGGCACACACTTTCTGGCTCGAATCAGCTGTTGAGCAGAGTAACGCGCCAGCGAGATCATGCTAATGAAGCGCGGGATATTTAAATCCCCGCTTCATTAGCAATTTCGGTCGCCTACATTTGCATCCCTAGTTCGAACTAGGGAGTAAGTGTAGATGTACCCTTAGATACCATGATGATGAAGGCACCATAAGCTATGTAGAATAGAAAGTTTAGCCCCTTGCTTGCTGTCTACTTCTTGGATTTATCACTCTACTTTTTTTTGCCTTACAATGAAATCTCTTTATCGTATGCAGTTGTTGGGCCAATTGGTGTCCTCCACTCTTGTTGACTTCACAGGATGCATTTGGCAGACGTGAGCCCTAAGACATTCGTTATATGTCTGCTTTGTTTAAATTCTTCTCCAGGCTGTGTGTGAGCTCATGCCCTCCTGGGTATTTTGGGGACAACTCAAGTGGGAAATGCCGAAGATGCCAGAAGGGGTGCGAAACCTGTACAGGCAAGGGCCGGAATCAATGTACATCTTGCCGCCGTGGTTTCTATCACCACCAGGAAACACACATGTGTGTGGCGTTGTGTCCAGCTGGGTTTTACTCAGATGAAAGTAAGGATGTGACCCATTTACAGATTGGCGCATGAGAATGTGGGGGGTATTTTATTTCCCCAAGTGAACGTGAATGGAAGAATTTAAGAAATAGAAATGTCAGGGTGGAGGCCATATGATGAGCCCTGGAATCGGCATCTTGCTAGGCAGATCTCCACTGCAGTAAAGTTGTCATTGCTACTAGTAATGAGAACCAGAATGCTGCAGTAATATGGGACAGAGCAAGAAACAATGCACAGTGCCTCTTCCAAAACTGGACTGATCCTCATTAATAGGCACTTGGTGATAAACCCCCCCAATGCTTCACAAGCATGACATCCTCACACTGTAGCACTGTCTTATAATCCCTGTTTTACAAGCACAGGAACTACAAGGCCATGGTCAGAGTCGTTAACTGTCAAATGTGCCCAGTAAGGTTTTCATTTTGGGGTGCCCGACGCCAGACACTTAAAACCTGACTCCAGCAGACTTCAGCCAGAGCAGTGGATACTGAAAAACATCTCCAAAAGTTCCGGCCACACAGCCAATCTGAGGCTGAGCCTGGATGAAATTCTCCCAGCTCCATGCTTAGGGGAGAAGGTTAGAAGTTGCCTACAATATGTTAAGAACCAAATTTCCATTGAAAGCCAATGAGAGTTAGGGCACTGCCAAATGAGTTGATCTACTGTATGTCGGCATACAGCTGCGGCAGTAATCACATCATTTGTGTGTGTATGGGGAGATTTTGATATCCACGAGCACATTTTGAACCAGACACATCACAAAACTCTAAGCTCCATTGGCCTACTCAAGTAAGTATTTACTGTGCCCCTGTGGGTTATCCAGAGTCTGAACATCACCCATCTCTATGTCCATTTGTAATAGAAAGGGCCCATGTCTGTGAGGAAAATGCTGTTCTACCTCTGTAAGCTGATGCCTGCAAATAGCTGCTGAAATACAGGCAGAGCTGGCCACAGTCTTCACCGGGCAATGGCAAGGGGGGAGGCTCAGCTGTGGGCCTTATGGTGAGGAAGGGGCCTCAGGTGGAAGGGGTGAGTTAAGAGCAGCTACCCTCAGCACCACCTGGACCACACTGTGTTTCCCCCAGCCAGCCCTCAGTGCCACCCAACCATGCTGAGTGGGGCTCCGGTGACAATTTAAAGGGCCAGGAGTTCCGGCCACTGCTACTGCCGCCCTTGTCAGTGGTCCTGGCTGCAGAACTTTTCAACTTGTAAGATCTTTTTTGTGGCTTATGGCTAGCCTGCTGCCTGCATCTCACTGGGCAGATTTCACTGACATGGACTCTTTTTGTTTCCAAAAGGTCAAAAACTCTGTCTTGAATGTCGTGAAAGCTGTAAAAAATGTGCTGATGATCCAGTTAAACGTGTTCTCTGCAAGGATGGCTTCAGGTAAAATCCTTTCAAAACGTTTCTCTCCCTGTTGAACACAGGAAAGGGATGTGAAATCTGCACTCTGAAAACTCAAAAAGTGGGATTTAAAAAATAGAATCTCTGTGTTTCAATAACACGGGGAGTGTGACCCAAATTGCAGGCAGCCAGGGAATCCAGAGGTGGGAGCAGTCGTTATGTAACAAAGCTCATCATGGAATTGAAAAGCACTAGGTAAATGCCATCCATTTATGTACAGCATTCATCAATGTAGTGTACCAGTGGCAGATTGCATGTATAGATACCAGCAAGAGAGCCTGCTAAGTAGTAATTGTATTGTTGTTATTTTCATTGGTAAAGAAAAAGTCTCATTTTCCCCTCATTTATCCCATAGAAGTCAATACAAAGCCTCCTACTAATGAAATGAGCTTTGGATCAATGAATGACCTTTAGACGGGTGTAAATCTGGAGCAAATCCATATCAGCCAGTGATCTCAGTCTAAGTGAGGCTGCCCCATCCTCCCTGGACACCTGAGCCATCTCTCTGGTTTCCCTGAGGAGAATGAAAGAGATCAGGGATGGAGACAGACAGGCAAGAGTGCCCATGTATGTTAGCTGACCACTGAGAAGGGACTGTTTGGGTTATGTCTTTACATTTTCTGCACACTGAGGGCACATCTATACAGCAGGGCTTACCTCGACATCAGCTACGCAAATTGAGCTACGAAATTGCATCACTTATGTCAAAATAGCTTATTTTGAGTTTTGGTGCTGTCTGCGCAGCACTTATTTCAAAACAGAGCATTCGTCCTCCGACTTCCCTTACTTCTTGTACAATGAGGGTTACAGGAGTCAGAGTAAAAAGTCCTCCAGCTTGACAGTATTTCGACATTATGTCAAAATAACTGCCGGCTGTGTAGACACGGACTATGTTGTTTTGAAATAATGTTGCTGTGTAGATGTAGCCTGAGAATGCTTTGCAATAGAGCTATACCGGCAGAGCTTCCTAGTGTTAGATGTGGCTCATGCCAACAAAGGAGGTTTTCTGTTGGTGGAGTAAACACCATCTTCCATAGGGTTGCCAACCTTCCATAACTGGCCTGAAATCTCCCAGAATCAGCAGCAATTTCCCAATGGCTACTGGAAGCAATCCTGGAGATTTTAACAGGATGTTTTAAGAAAATGACATTTGGTCATGCTGGAGGAAAAACATTTCCTGGGACCACTTGGATCAGAGTGGGCAATGCTAGCTTTCCATGCTGACATTCGTTATGTGGACAGAAGCATTCCGCCGTAGGGTTTTTGCTGGCCTAGCTGTATTGGCTAGTGGTATGGTTTCCCTCCCCTGACCAACACAACTGTGCCATGAACACTTTGTAGTGGAGGTCTGGCCTCAGTCTGCTAACAGGCGTGATGTGATCTGTCATGCTCACGTCACAACTGGTCCAGCCTGCTAAGGCCCATGGGAGTAAGAACTAGGCCTGCTGTCTATGGATGGGCCTATCCCTGCCAGCTGCCAAGCACTCTGTCCCAGATGAAGCTCACCGGGAGCTCAGCTCCTTGCAGCTCAGGGCCCCTGTATCGACCATCTGTTTTCTGGTTTTTCTGGCTCTTTCATCCCCTTACTGTTGGCTGATGTTATCCCCTGGCTGGGTTTGTTGGTAAGCTGGGGTGGGAGGACATATAAAAAGAAAAAAAAAGGGCAAAGAAAAATATTTACACTGAATATTATACAACATACGGTTTCCACAGGAGCCTCAGCCAGAACCATTGGAACCTTCCCCAGGTCAGCACGTACCACGCAGCTGCTTTTTCAAAACAAGGGATGTTTACCCAGTGACAGCAGTAATTGGGTTGACCCTATAAATATCTACTTTGAGTGTATTTAAAATTCATATTGTAAATACAAAGGTCCCTTATTTAGGCCTAATTTAAACAGGAAATTTTCACCGTTGATACCAATATAGCTATACCAGGCTAGCTGTACAGCTCTAGTTATACCGGTACCAAAACACACAGGTGCACTCTTCTTCCCATATGAGTGGCTTTATTTCTTCAGGTAGGTAGGTTACATTTACCCTTCCCAAGTGACATAATCTAACCTGCAAAATGTCAGGCTTAGGCTAAGTCTACACTGCACCTTTATTGGCTGCAACTTTCCGGCTCTGGGGTGTGAGAGAACACCCCTCCCACACACACACCCAAGCGCAGCAAGTTACAGTGCTGTAAAGCGCCAGTGTAAACAGACTCCTAGCATTGAGAACGTGGTCCCCTTGTGGAGGTGGTTTACCTAGTGTTCGTGCCGAGGGCCATACTTTCACTTTAAAGTGCTGTAGACAAAGTCTTAGACTGGAATCGGTATTCCCATGGAGGTGAGGGGGTGTTATGCTGACATAACTATCAGAGGGATAGCTGTATTAGTCTGAATCTGCAAGAACAACAGTATAAGGTACTTATGGAGGGAAAGCCAGAGTCTCAGCCCATGGGAAACCAGACTCCACTCCCCCAGTCCGCAATTACATCAAGATGGGTTCTCTGCGTGCTCCTATCGCTTCATCCTTCCATGATGGCCTCTCCGAAGCAGCCTCGGGGGGGAACCACTGCACCGCACTGGGCAGCGTCCCAGGCAGGCTTTGTGGCTAGAGCCAGAAGGGGAAAGACTCTGGCTCCACCTCTTCTCCTCTAGCTCAGCTGTTGGGCCCTTACCTCTCCCCCCTCGGCATTTTAGTGAGGGACATGTGATCATGTGTGTCCCTCCCATACATCGACTTCGGAGATGACATACATTAAAGCAACCCTGCGGTGGCTCTAAGTTGCACTAGGCCCATCCCTACAAGGAGGGGAGGTAGAAAGGCAGCTTAGAGTCACCTCTGTCTCCTCTTACCCCCGCCGCACTGGGGCGGAGTTGAGTCCTCCTGAGGACTGAGAGGGAGGGTTCATTTTCAGAAGTGTCTGAGGAAGGCCAAGTGCCACAGTGAAAAAAATCTCCTCCCAAAAAGCAAATGTTGCTGCCCGTGGAACGAGGAGTACAGATAGTTCGGAATGGCTACGTAGTTCGAACTATCTAGCCCGTGCCGCGTGTAGCCGCGCGGCACGGGGTTCGCACTAGCCGGCTTTTAAAAATGGCGGCGCCGGCTTTATGCTAATGAAGCCCGGGAAATTCAAATCCCGGGCTTCATTGGCAAGTTCGGTATGCATACAATACCCCCCTAGTTCGAACGAGCGGGGTAGTGTAGACATACCCCCATTGAGTAACCCCGCCCTGCACATGGCTCCCTATTGATTCCAGTCGGCATAAGCACAGTGTCAGAGCTGGTCTTCTCCACATGGTGAGCATGGCTGGCAGGATCTGAACTCAGAGCATTGGCACCTGGGCTGTTTCAAACCACAGTTGCGTTAGGGTCCGTATAATGGCCCCCAAACATGCGCGTGATACAGTTTAGATTGAATCCACTCTACTTAGTGCAGCGTCCACAGCTGCTACATCACCCAACCCGTCTTTCCTGGAGGCAGGGCCCTGCTCTGCTCGGCAGAGAGTGAAGCCATGGTACAACTGCACGTCTTCAGTAGGGTTGCCAGATGGTCCCCCAAAGAATACTGGACACGCAGTATTTTGGTCAAGCAAAAAAACCCAAACCAAAACCCCAACACAGGCTAAAAATGTTTGTCAAGCAAAAAAAAGGGGGGGGGGGGGGGGGAGTGCAGGATAATAAGTACTGCCTCTCCCAGCCCCTCGCCCCGCCCCTTCTGATGGGTCCAGACCGCCGATCGTGGCCCCACCTTCCAGCTTGGACTCCCTGGCTCCCAGCGCCAATTGCGGCCCAACCTGGAATCAAGGCCTCACCTCTCAGCTGGGTGCATCAGAAGCGGGAGGGGTGGGGGGAATGGTTGGGACTCCCAGCCACTCCCCCCGCCCCCGCTAGGCTTCTGATGTGCCAAGAGCAGCGATCGCAGCCCTGCCTTCCAGCCACTCCCCCCGCCCATGCCAGGCTTCCGTCCAGTGCGCAGCCAGAAAAGTCAGAGAATACCGGACATATTGTCTGATTTTTTTTTTACCAAACAAAGAGCACAAATACTGGACTGCCCAGTAGAATACCGGACACCTCACAACTCTAGTCAGCCCTCTATCCTTGGAAGATGCAGTGCAGGGGTTGAGGCCACAAGGTGATCCCCGTACTCGTACGAGAGAGCAGCCGGCACCCTGGGACTGCTGGGATGTGTAACTGCTGAGTCCTACTGCAGCCCTCAGGAATTAGGGTGCACAAATCCAAAGGAATTCCGGCCACTCTTCATAATCAAACTGTACTGAGGGCATAGTTCTTAACAGGCCCTCCTGTGGCAGCCTTCAGGTCACTTATGCCAAAGGACTGGCTCGTGGTAGCGTGGCCAGGATCAGAGGAGCATCACTGGGGCTTGTCACTGAAAGCCCCTGGTGTACACCCCGACTTGCATTCCAAGCCCGCAGCCAGGGACTTGGGCCCACGAAGCTTTTCTGAGCTGGCCGAGATCGGCTCAGCCCAGCAGAGAAAAGGGGCTGGTGTTCTGGATTTATGCCAGGCCCCAGAGGCTGCTCTAAGCAACGTCAGCTGGCCAGGCAGGGCTGGCACAGGGATCTCCTGGCTGGATCGGAGTGTTAACAATCCACGTCTGGCCCTTTCCCAGAACATCGTCCCAAACACACAAGAAGAAAGTGGCAGTTTGTAAATTCTGCACTCTCCTGTCCCCGAATCCCTTGCATGGGGTCCTGGCAGCCTATTGCAGATGGGGGTGCAGGAAAACCCAGGTCATGTTCCCTGCATCAGAGTGGGGAGGGGCTGGTGCAAAAGCAACTGATGGTGCCACGTAAGGATCCTGTGGAGATTGGCTCGGCTGGGTTTACTTTGCATGGAGAGGGAGGTCCAAAGCCGTCCCGGTGCAGGAGAGGTTTGGGCCCCAGGTTGGCCGGGGCTTACATAGAGGCTACAATTAACCCACTCTACGGCAAAATCACTGGGGGTTGTGAGAGTATTTGCATGTTTTGGTAACACTTTCTCCCCTGCTTTTCCAGCAGCCCGTTGGGGGCAGACTGTACCCCTGCATGCCAGCCAGGCCTGTACTTCAGCAAAGAGAGCCGGAAATGCGAGAGGTGCCACGCGAGCTGCCAGACGTGTGTCGGTACGTTCTTCACCTGCAAGCGGTCCCCAGCAGCGGGGGTCTCAGACCCAGCCCTCTGCGCCTACGCCTTGCGCTCGCTGCTCTGTTGCGCCACAGGGAGTGGGCTTGAGGCCTTGTTGCCGTGGTGGGCAACCTGCGGCCCATCGGGGCTCCGTGTGTGGCCCGCGACACTGCTGCCCATGCGCAGGGGTTGCCATATTCCGCTGGTTTTGGTTTGCCGTTTTTTCCCTGTCGGTATTATTAATGTGACACGCACATACAGCAAGTGCAGGTGAGGTGAGGTGCCTGCTGGTTGCACACATGGACCGTGAGAGCCGTGTGCTCCCGCTGTAACCAATCAGGCTGCTACGGTTCAGTCGGCGCCCCCCGCAAATTCTAGGGATGCAAGCGCAGTGAGCAAAACTGCCCTATCCCAGGAGACAACCTTGCGGCCCACTGAGATGGAGGAGGGCCACTCATGCCGTCCCCTCACTAGCCTACGTTGCCCACCGCTGCCTTATTGCCCTTTCAAGGTGCACTTTGAGCCAGCTTTGCTGGATGGATCAATGCAAAAATTAACCAAGCTGCTTGTGGAAGGAAAAGAAACGCGGCATGGACTCAGGGAGTGTCACTCCCCATGCAAAACCCGGCCCAGAAAAGGGAAAGCTTCCCAACATGCTGCTTTTCCATGGGGCTCGCAGCTGCCAGACTGTAACAGATCTGGTCCTTTTCAGTCGGGTTGTTAGAGTTTCGCAACTGGGGAATTCTCTCCAGGTTTGCTACAGAAAGTCAGCCTTGGTTTTTTTTTTTTTTTCTGCCCTCACCATCTGCATCTCTTCAGATCCCTGCAGCAGCTTGGAAGAGCACGCCCTCTCCCAGCCCTGCACCCCTTGCCCCAGCCGTGCTCCTATTCTGGGAGCAGTGAGGCGGCTACAGAGGGCCTTTTCGCTGGTCTTACCCTCCCAAGCACAGCCTTCTTAAGATACTACAATTCCCAAGTCGCCGCTTCCTCTGGCTTTGCTGAGCAGAACTGTTGTGTAGGGGCTACAACTCAGGCCTGAGGTTGCATCCGGAGGGATGCTGGAGTAACCATCCCTTATTCTGGTTACTCTGGGAAGGAGTAGGGCAGGCCCA